TTCATCCTTCAACCCCACGGTGTGCCAGCCTCCCCACCCCTGCCTTTGGTGCTGTCAGTGGGGTCCTTCAGCCAGTAACCCCTTTTATATTGATTCTTGGGTTGAATTCTCCAAAGAAAATTGTAAATATTTTTACTTTTTCTTGATTTCTTGAATGATTTTTCTCATTGTTTGGGGTTAGGGAAAAGGCCACTTTTCTGAGAAATGGTTGGAATTCCTGCTTGGAAACACGATGGGCGGTGTCTCCCTTTGTGGCCTCAGATGGCTGTCAGGGCTTCCAGCCACACATCCTCAGGGCAGAGCCAAACAGTAAGAAAAGGTGGAGGCCATATGGCTTTCTCCCCGTACCGCTCCCTCCTGTCATCAGAGGAAGACCCCCAGAAGACCCTGCACACTGTCCCTTATGTGGCACTGATGAGAACAGGGGCCCAGGCCCTCTCTCCGCCTATCTGGGCAAAGGGGAATGAGATGCCAGCAACTTGGAGCGTTCCCGATTCTTCCAGTGGGCTGGGCACGGCTCAGGTAAAAGGGGCTCAGCTGGAGGTAGCACCTGTCTCTTACGCAGCCCTTCCCAGCCCACTCAACCCTCCAGCCATCCTACCAGGAGGAGCTATCATCTTCACCTTAGGAATGAGGAAATGGGCTCAAAGAGGTCAAGCAACTTGCCTAAGAGCTCACAGCCACAGCAAAAAGCAGCAGCGCCAAGATTTCAACTAGGTCACCCAGCTCCGCGTCTATGTTCATAACGACTGTGTGAATATGCCTTTCAAAGAGGGAAACGGTGCCTGGGCAAGGTGCCCAAGTGCCAGGGCAGTCCCCTCCCAGACCAGCTGTGAGTCTCCCAACGTCCCAGCGTGGTAAGCAGTGTGGGTATCATTATCCCCATCTGACAGATGAAGAGATTGAGGTTTAGTCAGCTTACCTGTACTAAGCAGTATGGTTTATGTATTTTGCCTGAGGTCAAGGTAAAGGTCGGAGCCGGGCTTTTGTCTACCCTTGGGGCATTCAAACTACCTGGCAGGGCCCTTCTCCCTTCAATTGCTGTGCACTTTTATTCGATAGCTCCTTCTGATGGACACTATGAAGTTGTCAAGAGGAGCAAGTTGCAAAAAAATATGACTTCTTTTTTATAAAGGTATCATTGATATACACTCTTATGAAAGTTTTACAAGAAAAACAATGTGGTTATTACATTCACCCATATTATCAAGTCCCCCCCGACCCCATTGCAGTCAGTCACTGTCCATCAGTGTAGTAAGAAGCCATGGAGTCACTGCTTGTCTTCTCTGTGCTACACTGAAAATATGACTTGTTTTTAAAATGCGATTATATGGATGAAGGGGACAAGTTTTCATGTCTGTGTGGGAGGCCTTGTGGTGCTCTAGGAGCTGGTAACTCCCTGCGCCCGGCATTGTGCTGGGATAATGGGGTGTGTTTCAGACAAGGTGGCCAGGAGTCGTCATAGATGCTCAGCGGGCATCCGAAGTCAGTACCTTGGTGGCCCAGCACCAATCAAAGGGTTTTGTTGTCAGCTCTGGGGGCCTGGGGATACCTCTCGATGTAGCATTAGGGAAACCAGCTTTGGGACCAGTCCTGGGATCAAGCCCCCCTTCTACTAAATTGTAAGCTGTGGGGCATTGGACAGGGAATCTGATCTCCCGGAGTCTCCATGTTCTCATCCGTCAAAGGACTTAGGACGCACCTGTGATGACTGAAGGCTATTAAGGGCTTCTCTGCAAAGCGCTCTGCAAATGTGACATTTCTCATCCATGCTCTCCCATACCAAGCAAGCAACCAACAGGCTCATCCATGGACCGAAACGTAACAGGTTGACCATGAGAAACAGACCTGCCGTGGGAACTGGAACATTCTGTGCAGTGGGAAGGACACAGGAACGGCCACCTGGGGATTTTTTAGAGAATTAAATGAGTAAGTGAAGTGGTAGCTCCTTTTCCTTTCTCCTTGTTTACCAACCCCCACTTAGCAGGAGTGCCTGGTAAACCCAAACAGGGAAGACTCTAGTGGCTAAAGTCACCAAGCTAGTGAAGCCCAGGGGCTGCACATCCTCTACAGGGGATTGGGCTTCTTGGGCAGTGCTGGAGACCCACCGATAAAATGCTTATTCTTGTGCCTTGGACCACTTCTTGATGACAACAGCCTAGAGACTGCGTCGGCGATCGAGAGCCACATCTCTGCACCAAGCTGGGTGCCTGTGGGCAAACCCTCTGTCTCTGAGCTTCAGCTTCCTCCTCTTAACAGAGGGCAGCATCTCCCAGCACCTGCCCCAGCTCAGAACCCCTGCCCCTTCACCCCCATCCCGATCGTGTGGTCACACCACAATTCATCTAGTTGCTTTGCATATTCTGTAGATTTGGGACACACCTAGAGCTCTGTGACAGAGGCTGAGCCACTCTGATCTCCCAGGAGCCCACCTTCTGAGCCTCTTTTTGTCTAGAGAGGAGGGGCAGCCAGGGTCATGCTCTGAGCTGACAGCTAACTGCATCATCAGAGAACTGAAGCTGGTGGCACATTTGCCAAAACACAACCCTGGGCATAGTAATAAGGTCTCCATCCCCTCCCCTCCCATAGCACCAAATTTTCTTTATTGAGCTGTTAACAGAAGAACTGGAGCAAAAACATTTTTCCACGTTCATTGTTTTCCTGATTGAGCCTTATAAGGATGCTATCCAATCTCTAAAATATTTTCCAGATAAATATGTCTGGGAAATAGTGAAGCTGGGTGGTATAGGTAACTACAGCTAGAAGTCACTTGAGCTTTCTGAAAGCAATCTTCCATGGTTTGTTCTCACCTAGCTTTAATTAAGTGACATTTGTGGGGCGTTTTCTCTAATGATAAAAATAACACACATTCACAATGAAGTATCTAGAAAGTACAAGCTAGCAGTAAGAAGGAAATGAGAATTACCCACAGTCCTCAAAGACCACCACAGCCAACATTGTGATAGGTCTTTTTCCAGGAATAGATATGTATATGTATATGCAGAGAAAGGTGAAAAGATAACTCAATACAGTGATGATATTTTCACATATGGACATAGCTATTTCTTTTACAAATTTGAGGCTTTAAATTATTTAACTTTTCAAAAATATTTCATGTAAAACTCTTTGTTAAAATTGTATCACTTTGATAAATAACATTCTAGAGTTTTTCAGATACAACAAATTTTACATAGTACATGCTTCATTTAAACACAGATGGTTTTCCCTTAATTTGGGCTCACATTATATATATTTGTAATGTGTTTTTAAGAAAGGTTTTCCTGCTTTAAAAAATCAGGGAATTCTTTACGTATTAATGTACAGTCTAGGAGTTCTGACAAGCATATATAGTTGTGTAACTACCACCACAATCAGGAAATAGAATTTTGCCAGTCATTAGTTATGGAAAATATGACCATGAATATTTTCATGAATGTCACCAAGCTTTCTGTCATTTGGAAGCGCAATGATATCATCCATCTCTTTTTGTGGTCATTTAGGTTGCTGACGATTTTCCTCTTACTGATTTTGCAATCTGACTGTGAATGACATGAATGAATGAAAAGGAGTGAAATCAGGGATGTTTTCCCCAGAGTTATACCAAACAGGCATCTCCCGTTTCTGCTCAGAAGACTTCTTATCCTTAAAGACCCAGCTCAGATGTTATCTCCTCTGTGAAGCCTTGCTCTGGCCCCACGGTGCCACGTCACACGCTGTCTATAGGACAGGCAAATAGTCTGTTTCTCTTCTCCCCTCTGGGCTGTGAACCAGGGGTGCAGGTGGGGGGTGAGGATTGGGGAGTGCTATCTTAGCTCTGTCTTCCCAAAACCTGGGCCATGCCTGGCTTATAGCGCTTTACAAACATTCATGAAATAAATGAACATTCCACCCCGTTGAACTGGATTTTGGGATTGTGCCTATTTCTTAGGAGAAGGTACTTTATGAGCATGGTGCAAATATGGGCTGGATGGATTAATCTGGCATACTTGAGGGCAGATGGAAATTTTCCTCTGTTCCAGATCCTGGGTCAGGTGTGCAAATTCACATGCATGTGAAGTTACTCAGTAAACATTCATTGAATGAATAAATCCATGAATGGAAGAGATGGTGTGACTGGAAGGTAAGAAAGCCAATCAGAGGTAGCGCCTGTTCTTGGTAATCTTACAACAGGGAATCAAGGAATCCACCTTAAAAAGGTTCACTGCCCCCCAGGCAACCTTTAATTAGACCTGTTAGTTCCGGGGCGCCTGGCACCAGTGCCCTGACATTTTTTTTTGGTTTGTGAAGAGTTCGCGCTCCAGGAGTCAAATCCTTAAGGGGAAGCATCTGCTTTAATTTATTAATTTACTAATCTCTCTATCACTCTGTACCTGAAGGTGCAGGACTTGGCACACAGCAGGTGTCTCTTTAAAGTCTGAGTAAAGGTCAAATATGTTTCACCCTAAAGGATAAAAATGACCACCACTGGATTCTGCTCCTAGAACAGCCCGGGGCTGAGGCTGCGTCGTCCCCGCGCCCCGCAGACGCCTCGCCCTCGGGGCCGGGAACGGTGTCGGCTGGGGGCTCCTGGGCTTGGGGGCTCCACGCCGCGCCAGCCGCAGCGGGGTCCTGGGTGGGAAACGCGGCCTGGAGTCCTGCCGGGAGCGCTGTGAGGCGCCCCCGAGTTGCGGCAGCTGCGGGCAGGTGCCCCGCGCCCGGGCGCGCCCTCCAGTGAGGCTGCAAGCGGATACCTCGAGGCAGTCCTGACGCAGGCGGAGNAGGCTGGGGCGGGGGCCGGCGGGCAGCCCTGAGCGGCGGCGGCGGCGGCGGGGTCTCAGCCACCCCCCCAGGTGGGTGGGGAAAGAGGCGGGGCCCGAGAGGCGGGGCCCAGGTCGCCTCCAACCAATCGGAGCCCTTGGGGAGCGGCCCGCCCCACTGTGGAGGCGGCGCTTGCGCACTCGGCCGCCGCGGCGCCCGGCGCTAACGCTGCGCCGACGCGTCCTACGTCAGGCACGTTGACGCCGGCGACGCGCAGCCGGGCCCGCTCGTCCTGCGCTCAGCCAGTGTCCGGCCGCGGGCCGGCGTTAGTGACTGGGGCTGCGGGCCCGGCGCGGGCGCGGGCTGCCTTCGTCGCCCGGAGCGAGCCGCCGCCCGCGAGCCGCCGCGGAGCCTCCCTGCCGCTCCCGCCGGCGAGCAAGGTGAGGGCGCGGGAGGCTGAGACGGGCTCGGGGCGGAGCGGGGCCGAGGTCCCCGGCGCCGGACCCCTCCCCGCGGCGGCTGCGCGGCCGACGTCTGCCAGCGCCGGGGAAGGGTGCGCTCCGGGGCCCGGGCCGGGTGGGGGGGGGACCCCCGGCGGGGCCCCTGACGGACGGGCTCTGGGGGCCGCGCGCCGCCAGCCCCGCTGACCAGCCCCCGGGAGCAGCGCGGGGCCGAGGACCCGTGGCCACGGGAAGCCCGGCTCGGCTGGGCCCCGACGTCAGTGGTTCTCGGCGCCCCGGGGCTCCGCAGCGCCGGGTGCGGTGCGGTGCGGGCAGGTCCCTCTCGCCGTCAGGTGCACGGCCCGAAGCATGTCCCAACCGGGGGCCCGTCGTGGCCGGAATACCGCCGGCAGTCTCCGCAGCCGGCCCCCCTTCCCTCGCCCCGCGGTTTTATTTGAGACACTTAACAGCGTCTCCTAATCTCACCTCCCACTTTCACTTCCTCGCTGTCCACGGCTTTGTGGACCTGCCGTATTTCCATTGTGGAGTCGTTCTATTTTTTCGGCTGCCAGTTGACTGACCAACCACCGCAGGCACTGGAAAGCACCTCTCCCCACCTGTAACGAATCCAGTTCCTACTAGCGCCCACCGAATCCAGCCCAAGAATTCGGGGAGCCGTCAGTCCTTCTCAGGAGCTGACTGCACACATTCCTGTAAGATGCCTGATGGATACTTGTCGGCTTTACTGGCTGTATGCGCCTTCTGTGTGTTTTCCTGAAAAATGATTGTGTGGCATGTGTTTTGACTTCCTCTCTCCCACTGGGAAATAGAAGAAATAAAAAAGAAGGTTACAGAAGCACACTTGTTTTCAAAAACTGGAAAGGACAGCTTTACAAACAAAAGTCGTCTTTGGTCTTGATCCCTTCACTGGATTGATTACTGGCTGTGTTGAAGTCTTCCCCTGGTGTGTTCCTGCACTTCGGATTTGCCTGTGTTTGTTTTCCCAACTAATTTATATAGAGCACGCCAGATCTAAGGGACAGTGAGGCTGTCAGCCTTTCGTTTATTGGCTGCACATAGCTATAAAGTTGCAGGTTTGTGGAAGCCTTTATTTTGCACTTAATGATTATAGTCTGGGTCTTTTATTTCCAGATGATGTGCGAGGTGATGCCCACCATCAGTGAAGCAGAAGGCCCCCCAGGAGGCGGCGGGAGCCATGGGTCTGGCTCCCCGTCACAGCCAGATGCAGATTCCCATTTTGAGCAGTTGATGGTCTCCATGCTGGAAGAGAGGGACCGTCTCCTTGACACGCTGAGAGAGACCCAGGAAACGCTGGCCTTGACCCAGGGGAAGTTACACGAGGTTGGGCATGAGAGAGACTCCCTGCAGAGGCAGCTCAGTACTGCCCTTCCTCAGGTACGGATGCTTTTCACCTGAAACTCTAGTGGTTTTCTTTTTCCCATTAAGTGCGTTTCTGTGGTGTTATTCTAGATGACTGTTTTGCATAACCATTTGTGAAATAGTGATTCTGGTCCCTGAGGATTAAACTTCTTTGGTAGAACAGTGTGGTACTCTAAAGTCATGTGAAACACCTCAGAACTCTTGTCACTTTCTTGTGGGCAGCAGAAGGAACTGCTGGATTTGGGGTAGGGCTCCAATGTGTTTGAAAAGGTCTCTGCGGCAAACAAGCCATGTGCCTGCCTTCTGTCTGCTGTCTTAAGCCATTTCTTGCTGACCATTTATTTCCCATGGATTGTATCATGTATTTCCAATTTCCCAAAAAAGTTTAATGGACGAATAGGATTGCTTGCAAAGGGAAAATATTTTTGCAGCCCACCTTCAGCAGAACACCTGTGTTTTGTCAATCAGATTTGTTTTAGGGGATGTAAGGTTGGAGTTTGATTCCTTTGGAACTTTCTCCTTAGCAGATGAGAATGGTAAGTCTTGGAATCGCACTGGAATTGTTATTCTAAATATATTACATTTGGACTACTGTTGCAAAGCCTTTTTTATGGAGCTGAGTGAGGATTTAATGATAGGTGAAGGAGAAACTGTTAGCTAGAAAAGGGTAAGGTAAGTGGCCCAGAGCATAGTGGGAGTGCATGGGTTACTTTTATGAGCTGTCTGGGGGCCATTTTACTTATTCATAATAGGTGCCTTTATGGTGCTTCCAGGTAGACCTGAATAAGCATACATTTGTACCCTCATGATGGGGCTGCGGTAAATTAGTGAATGAATAATTACTAGCCTTAATGCGGTTGTTGGCTTTAGTCAGTTCTCCTGAAAGATTGATGAGCTAAACGTTTGGATTTCTTTGTTAGCAACAATAATTTGACATTAGTGCTAAAATGTTCCTTTTTGTTGGATTAGAGAATCATTAAGGTTTTTTTCTCATTCATATCTTACAAAATACCAGGTTTGTTTAGGTCAGATTTTATTACCACAAGTTTAAAAGGATTGGCCGACTTATATTTGGCCAGGGTTTCCTGCTATTTGTAAACCTTTCCAGTGTTTGTTTATTTGGGTAATGGTGCTGTTCTGGTGTAATTTAAGGTAGATATGCCAAACTGCATTTTTTGCAGGTACGTAACAGGGAAGGGACAGGAGTTTTGTACAGGGCAGTCTTGTGTAGCGGCGGTTGTCAAGCCACTGGGGTGAAACAGTTGCTCAATGATTTGTTTCTAGCCACTGCTTGGTGTTGTAGCCTGGAAATGCCTCGTTGAGTGGAGAATATAATGCTGTCATGGTTCACCTCACCACCTGAGCACTGGAGTCCAGCGTTACAGAAATACAGGAGCATTAACACTTTTTTTTTGGACCCTTCCCTTTCTTTCCTGGCATTTGTCTTGCTTTGTGGATAACAGTGCAACTAGATAAGCACAGGAGTAAAGTAAATGCATTTGTACCTTGGTACATTATGTTGGCAAGTAATAATATACTTTTAAAAATACATCAGAAAAACTCATACATCTTAAGTGTGTATCTCCAAGAATTTTGCACAAAGTGAACACGTGTAGCAACTACCTAGATGAAGAAATAGAATATTACCAGACTTCCCAGAGGCCCCCTCCTCCCCACTCCCAGCAGTTGTCCTCCAGAGCTAATCATGGTTTGACTTTCTGCTGCTGAGCACTTTGACATGTTCTTGACTTTATATAAATGAAAGAGGTGATGTGTGTATGTTGTTCCATGATTCCCTTGTTCAGCATTGCCTCTGTGGGACCCACCCAGTTGCCCCATGCGGCTTTGCTCATTCTTATCTGTTGTCTGGTACCCTGTGTGCACGGACCATAATTTGTTCTTTCTGCTGTTCATGGGTATCCAGCTTGTTTGTAGTTGTTACAAGTGCTACCCTGAATATTCTTGCTGGTTTTTTTGGTACAGGTAAGCATACATCCCTGTTGAGTGTACACGAAGGATGGCATTACAGGGGGATGGCGTGTGCCTTGGTTCAGCACTAATAGACGCAGCCCAGGTGGTGCTTACGACATCCTGGCTGCCACCAGCAGTGTGGGAGCAATTGGTTCTCTAACACTCCACATTGCCAGTTCTAGATTTCAGCTGCCTGGTGGGTGTTGGGTGGTAGCACGGGATGATGTGAACTTGCCACTCCCTGATGACCAGAAACCACGCAGAGGCAGAGTTGTCCTGCATGTGTGTATTGGCTATTTGGGTATCTTCTTCTGTGGAATGATTGTCTCTTGCCTATTTTACAATTTTCTCTGTTTTGTTTCTTACTGATTTGCAGCTCTTTTTATATATGTATTTGAGAATATATACTTATGGCAGGTGTTCTTTTACATTCTTACTGCCTTTTGACTCAGTGGGTCTCTTGATAAGAAGAAATTTTAATTTTAATTAGTGCAGTTGAATCCTTTTTTTCCCCTCCTCTTTATTTATTTTTTTATGAAGGCATTATCAATATACACTCTTATGAAGATTTCACATGAAAAAACAATGTGGTTACTACATCCACCCATGTTATCGTGTCCCCGCTATACCCCTTTGTAGTCACTGCCCAACAGTATAGTAAGATGCCACAGATTCACTATTTGCCTTCTATGTGCTACACTGTCTTCCCTGTGACCCCACACACACCATGTGTGCCAATCATAATACCCCTCAGTCCCTTTCTTCCTCCCTCCCCACCAGCCCTCCCCCACCCCTCCCCTTTCGTAACCGCTAGACCCTTCTTGGAGTCTGTGAGTCTGTTGCTGTTTGGTTCCTTCAGGTTTGCTTCATTGTTATACTCCACAAATGAGGAAAATCATTTGTTACTTGTCTTTCTCCGCCTGGCTTATTTCAGGGAGCTAGTTCAACCATTGTGGAAAGCAGTGTGAACTAGCTCAGTGCTCCATCCATGTTGCAAATGGTAGGAGTTGTTTTCTTCTTATGGCTGAGCAGTATTCCATTGTGTATATGTACCACATCATCTTTATCTATTAGTCCACTGATGGACACTTAGGTTCTTCCATATCTTGGCTATTGTAAATAGTGCTGCAACAAATGTAGGGGGTGCATATGTCTTTTTGAATCTGAGAAATTACATTCTTTGGGTAAATTCCTAGGAATAGGATTCCTGGGTCAAATGGTATTTCTATTTTGAGTTTTTTGAGGAACCTTCATACAGCTTTCCACAGAGGTTGAACTAGCTTGCATTCCCACCAGCAGTGTAGGAGGGTTCCCCTTTCTCCACATCCTTGCCAGCATTTGTTGTTCTTAGTCTTTTCGAT